TCAGCACCGTGCCCCACGGCAGGGCTTCCTCCAAAGGGCAGCACATGGTAAAATAAACAAGGAAGAGGAGCCGCTCCCAGTGATGAGAGCAGGGAACATCTCAGCTAATAGCTAGCATCCTGCCAAGACCCCGGCCCTCTCCCCCAGGCCCAGACTGAGGAGCTGCAGCTGGGGAAGCGCCACCTGGGGACTCCGGAAGGGAAGCATCTTTTGCAGGGCTTTCCTTGAACAAGCCTGTTTTTGTTGGGTGTATGGGAAAACAGCCACTGAGCCCATCATGTGTGCCAAACAAGCCCAAGGGAGGGAGACACTGCTTCCGGAGGCCTCCGAGATCCCGCTGGCTTTGGGGTCCCAGACTATAATGCCAGGGACTTCATGTCCATCAGAATCATTCTGGCTACAAGGATCAGGACTCAGCAGCCATTGCTGGGTGGGGGGCAGGTTTTCTAAAGAGCTCAGCTCCCACGTGGGCATGTCAATAAGTGGCCTGTGCTGCCTATCCAAGAGCTCAGGGCCTCCACTGGATAGAGGAGGACAGATGGGTATTAAGGAAAGAGAGAGAAACTACAAGGAATTAAGCATGTCGGGTGCTGAGCTCTGCTCCCATAGCTAGGATGTGCAGGGCGCTGCACGGACACAGAAAGACCTGCCCCCAGGAACCCCTAATCTGGGACAGACGGCAAACCACCCTGAGATGCCAGTGATGGGCAGGGGCCCAGGAGGGAGGGAAGGGGCTCCCAGCCCTTCAGGGCAAATGCATGAGTTAAGTCAACTTGTTTAGAGAAGGTTAGCAAAGCTCCACTGAGCAGGAATAAAGGGGGCATAATAACCCCATGCTGTTCCTGTCGTTCAAAGGCAGCAGGGGCACATGGCTTTCATTCCGGGCTTGCTGCAGGCCTGGGCTGGAGTCTGGATTTTAATTGCTCCCTACAGCCAGGGTCTGCTTTTACGCAGCAATGCATTTACTGAATTACGGAATACATGTGAACTGGTCCCCCAGGGCCAAGAAATAACCAGAGAGTGAGAGCCGCACCGCGCTGTCCCGCGGAGGAGGGAGCGGGATGCTAACAATGGCTATGCATCACTTTACGGCTTTGGGGGCCTGATTTTCAAAGAGGGGGGCAGTGATAACCCTAAATGACCAGGCACAATGGACTCCAGCCAGTGCCCTGTTCTCAGACAAGGTGGCACATACAGGTCCCGGTCCTGCCACCAGAGACATGGGGCTGGCAGGATCATCCCCGGTGAATCCGATCGCAGGACCGGGGCTGTGCACGCTATTGGCCTGAGTTTCAGAGGGGCTGAGCTCCAGCGGCTTCCCTTGGAGGGCATGAAAGCCAGCGGTGCTGCGCATCAGGCCACAGTTTGCACGAGTGCCTTCGAGGACCTGCTGCAATCCCCACAATTTAAAATTCGTGACTAATCAAATCTTGACGGCAAAAGCAATTAAGTCCAAAGCCAGGTCAAACACCAACACGCCTCCTGCCCCTCCCCCCACCGTACCAAGCCAACCTAGCCATTAAAACTCCAGTAGCCAGGCACTAGGAATAACAGACTCCTCAGATCTGGGGCCACGCCTTGTAGAGCGCCCCCTAGGAGTGCTTAGCATATTAACAAGGAGAAGGCTCCACCCAGCTTTCACTAACCATTTGCTCTAATCCTTAGGATAAAGGCTTCAGAAACAGATTTATCTTCTTACCAGCCACCTTCCCCTTATCACCCGGATCCGGGGGCTGGCAGCCCTTAGCAAAACACTGACCAAGGAAAGAAAAAACCCATGTGCTTCTCCCAGCGTTGAGAAAACACATTAAGGCCTCAGGTCCCCTGGGACGGAAAGGGAACAGCAACCCTTTCCTCCCTGCAACAGCCGGTCGAGGAGGGGCTGGACCAGCATGCACTTGGAAGGCAAGCAGTCCTTCTGCATGTGGGTGTGATGAGTGTATGGGAAAGGGCAGGACACAGGTTGTGTGTGGCTAGTTGTGTGTTGGACGCACTAAGATGCGGGCGTGCTGTATGTGCAGGGTTATGGCCTTGCCCACGCCAACCTTTTCCCTCTCAAACCCCTTAGCACTGCTGCCTCGGTTCAGATGGGAGCAGGCTTGGTCAGAAAAGTGGTTGGAACCACAGCCCTGTCTGCAGTAATTCTCCCCAGCGCTGCTCCTGGCAGAGCTGAAAGAGCAGTGCCGAAGAGGGGAAACTGTAGGGCAAAAGGCTAGTTTAGATACAGTCTCTGTGTGTGTGATCGGGGGAATGTATATGTGGAGCAGAATGGGGGGGGGGGGGTGTATCTGGGTGTCCGTGCCGTATGTACATATGTAGTGTGTGTGTGAGACAAGGGGTGTTGGAGCCCATGTGGCGTGGTTTGGGTGGTTGTACACTGTATGTGTGCCTGTGGGGAGCTGGAGAGTGTGTGTGTGGCAGCTACCTGCTGTGTGGGGGGATCAAGAGCGGGAATGAAAACGTGTGTGGGAGGGGGTTGAATGCACCTGTGTGATGCGGGGGGGCGAGTGTATGTGTTGTGGGAGAGGGGAGAATGGGTGCGCCTTGGAGTGGGTGTGCGGGAATGAGTGGGTGTGCTGTGAAGGGTGGATTTGTCTGGTTGTGTTGGGAGATGAATGTGTGTGTTATGATCTGTCTGTGTGTGTGTTATATTGTGCGGAGATATCAGGGTATGTGCTGTGTGTGGGTATGTGGGGGAGGATATGAGGGTATGTGTTGTGTGTGGGTGTGTTATGAGCATTTGTGTCGTGTGTAGTTGTGTGATTTCTCAAGGTTATATATGTAAGACTTCCCCATGGCAGAATGTGTGTGTGTGTATGCGTGTGTGTGTAAGAGAGAGAGAGAGTCAGTCTAAAGGACAGTATGTGTGTGTATGTGTGTCTCCCGTGGCATGTGTGTGACTCCCGTGGCAGTGTGTGAGTGTGTGACTCCCGTGGCATGTGTGTGACTCCCGTGGCAGTGTGTGTGTGTGTGACTCCCGTGGCATGTGTGTGACTCCCGTGGCAGTGTGTGTGTGTGTGACTCCCGTGGCAGTGTGTGTGTGTGTGTGTGTGCATTCACACAAGAGGGATCCTCCCCTGCGGCGTGTGTGCATTCCAAAGGCACCATGTTATCATAAGACTCAGAGACAAAGGCTCCCCACCCCCCGCATCCCCACAGCAGGGGTGGCTGGGCCCACAAGGTGGCTCCTACCAATGCCAACAGATCACCCCAAAGCTCCCCTCCTCTGCGGGTGGAATTTTAACTCAGCCCCTCCAGCACCTCACTGGTGTCTAGGGGATCCGGTACGTGGGGTGTCTATGCCCAGGGAGTAAGGTGGGGGGGTGACCTTGTGTTGAGGGTGAGTGCATGTGGCTGTGTGTTGCCTGTGGAGGGAAGGAGTGTGTGTGTTGTTGCTTGTGTGCGTGTGCGCTGTTGACACTGGGGCACGTGTACCTGCGAGCTGTTGTTGCTGGGGGTGTGTAGGTGTACACTATTGTGTGTGCAGCACGCTATTATCGCTGGTGTGGGTATGCGCACTGGTGTCCGTGTGTGTGCACGCTCTGTGGGTGTGTACTCCTGTTGCTGCTGTGTGTGTCTGTGAACCTGGGCTGGTATTCAGTTCCATCAGCACTGAATGGGGCTGGCTGGAGCCACCGCACTCGCCTCTCAACCCAAGCGAACAGGAGCCCACCGTGTTCCCTTCTGTCTCTCCTCAAGCTTCGCTCTGTGATGGGAGGCAGGGGGTGGGGGGGACACGCTGGAAGGCGGGGAGAAGCGATGTGCGGGGGGGGGCTGGGATTCTGGACGGGGGCAGGGGTGTGCGGGGGGGGGCAGGGGCTGGGAGTCTGGACCGGGGTGTGCCTGGGGCGGGGGGGGGGGGGCTGGGATTCTGGACGGGGGCAGGGGTGTGCGGGGGTGGGCAGGGGCTGGGAGTCTGGCCGGGGGGGGGGGGGGGGGGGGGGGGGGATCGGGGGGCAGGGGGGGGGGGGGGGGGGGGGGGTCTGGACCGGGGTGTGCCTGGGGGGGGGGGGGGGGGCTGGGATTCTGGACGGGGGCAGGGGTGTGGGGGGGGGCAGGGGCTGGGAGTCTGGACCGGGGTGGGGGGGGGGGTGTGCCTGGGCGGGGGCGGGGGGGCGGGGGGGGGGCTGGGATTCTGGACGGGGTGTGCCTAGGGCGGGGGGGCTGGGATTCTGGGGGGGGCAGGGGTGTGGGGGGGGGGGCAGGGGCTGGGATTCTGGACGGGGGGGGGGGGGGGGGGGGGCAGGGGTGCGGGGGGGGGGGCAGGGGCTGGGAGTCTGGACCGGGGTGTGCCTGGGGGGGGGGCGGGGGGGGGGCTGGGATTCTGGACGGGGGGGGGCAGGGGTGGGGTTGGCGGGGGGGGGCGGGGGGGCAGGGGCTGGGAGTCTGGACGGGGGCGGGGGGTGGGTTTGGGGGGGGGGGGGCGGGGGGGGGGGCAGGGGCTGGGAGTCTGGACCGGGGTGTGCCTGGGGCGGGGGGGGGGGCTGGGATTCTGGACGGGGGCAGGGGTGTGCGGGGGGGGCAGGGGCTGGGAGTCTGGACCGGGGTGTGCCTGGGGCGGGGGGGGGGGGGGGGGGGGGGGCTGGGATTCTGGGCGGGGGGCAGGGGTGGGGGTGGGGGGGGCAGGGGGGTGCGGGGGGGGCAGGGGCTGGGAGTCTGGACCGGGGTGTGCCTGGGGCGGGGGGGGGGGCTGGGATTCTGGACGGGGGCAGGGGTGTGCGGGGGGGGCAGGGGCTGGGAGTCTGGACCGGGGTGTGCCTGGGGGGGGGGGGGGCGGGGGGGGCTGGGATTCTGGACGGGGGCACGGGTGTGCGGGGGGGGCAGTTGGAGGGGTGTGTGGGGGGGGGGGTGGGCTGGGGGGCGGGGGCAGTCTGGACCGGGGTGTGCCTGGGGCGCGGGGCAGGGCGCTGGCCCAGGACAGCCCGGCCCCCGGGGGTGGGTCTCCGGCCCCGCCGCAGCGGGAGGGCAGTGGCGGGAGCCCCCTTTATAGGCGGCGGGCGGCGGCGGCGGGGCGCAGTGCGGGGCCATGGAGGAGGCGGCCGCGGACGCGCTGGGCGGCGAGCCCTACTATTACTACGGGGAGGCGAACGAGAGCGGGCCGGGCGCGCAGTGCGAGTGGCCGGCGGACTGGGAGGTCTCCTTCTCGCTGCTGCCCGTGCTCTACATGCTGGTCTTCGTGCTGGGGCTGTCGGGCAACGGGCTGGTGATCTTCACCGTGTGGCGGGGCCCGCGGGCCAAGCGCCGCTCCGCCGACACCTACATCGGCCACCTGGCGCTGGCCGACCTGGCCTTCGTGGTGACCCTGCCGCTGTGGGCCGCCTACACGGCGCTGCGCTTCCACTGGCCCTTCGGCTCGGCGCTGTGCAAGCTCAGCAGCTACCTGGTGCTGCTCAACATGTTCGCCTCCGCCTTCTGCCTGGGCTGCCTGAGCTTCCAGCGCTACCTGGCCGTCGTGCGCCCGCTGCCGCGCCCGCGGCCCCCGCGCCCCCGCGCCGCCGCGCGGCTCCCGCTGGCCGCGCTCTGGCTGCTGGCCGGCCTGCTGGCCCTGCCCGCCCTGCTGCTGCGCGACACGCAGCCCAGCGCGCCCGGCAACCTCACCGTCTGCGACATGGACTTCAGCGGCGTGGCCAGCCCGCAGGCCGAGCGCTACTGGCGGGGCGCGCTGGGCCTGGGCACCACGGCGCTGGGCTTCCTGCTGCCGCTGCTGCTCATGACCCTCTTCTACTGCTGCATCGGCGCCACCGTCAGCCGCCACTTCCAGCATCTCCGCAAGCAGCAGGAGAAGCGGCGGCTGCTGCGCACCATCGCCACGCTGGTGGTGGTGTTCGCCCTCTGCTGGCTGCCCTTCCACCTGCTCAAGGGCCTCTACGTGCTGAGCGAGCTGGAGCTGCTGGACCTGCCCTGCGCCTTCCTCGGCCTCATCGTGCTGCTGCACCCCTACGCCACCTGCCTGGCCTACATCAACAGCTGCCTCAACCCCTTCCTCTACGCCTTCTTCGACCTGCGCTTCCGCGCGCAGTGCCGCCTGCTGCTGGGGCTGCGCCCGGCGCTGCGCGGCCCGGCCGGCTCCGGCTCCGGCTCCTCCACGCTCAGCGCCCAGACGCAGAAATCCGAGCTCCACTCCCTGGCCACCAAGGTGTAGCGCCCGCGGGCGGGCGGCGCACGGGGAGCCCCGCGCCCCAGACTGACGCACTGCCGGGCTCGCAGCCCGCCCACGCTGGGTGAGGCGCCGCCGGGAGCTCGGCGCGGTTCGGCCGCGCTGGGCCGCTCCTGCTCCGAGGCGGCGGGATCCGCAGCAGCAGCCCCGGCTCTGGCCGCTGCACCCGCTTGGTCCCAGCCGCTGCTCGGGGGGTCCGGGTTCCCCGCCCGCCCGGCGCTCCCTGCCGGTTCGATTAGGGCCGGGAGCCCCCGGAGCTGGGCTGGTCCCTGCGGGAGGCTCCGTCCCTGTAAACCAATAAAATAGTTTTTCAGGAACTCTGCAGCGCTGGTCGGATTCTTGGTGGAGGCAGCGCTGGGGGGGTCCGGTGCGGGGCTGTGAATGCGGGGGTCCGGTTTGGGCTGTACAGGATCCGGTTTGGGAGCGGGGCTGTGCTGGGTCCGCACGCAATAACCGGGCAGCCCCTGGCAGAGAATTCCCCATCCTTGGGGCGCAGCGAGGGGAGGCTCCGGGACTGGGGGAAAGCCCCGGGCTGATCCCTTTCACCTCCCAGGCGAGGGAAGGGTGCGGGGTCCAGTCCCGGGCTGGTCAAGGGTGGGTGCGGGCCGAACTGCCCTTGCCACTTCAGCTGACGATGGAAAGAGCTTCCCTGCCAGGGCACCCCCCCCCAGCCCCCCGCAACCTGCCCGCTATTTGCCGGGCAGCCCCTCTCCCTCACCTCTGCGGGGCCGCTCCCCTCTGCCGCAGGATGTGCCTGGGACCGGTCCCGCCATGGGGAGCTTTAGGCGCAGGCAGCCTGGCTGGCCCCTGGGGTGCCCCTCTTTTGGGGTGACTCAATCCCCCCAGGCACCCTCTCTCCCCGGGCCAAGTCTCTGCCCCTCCCCTCCAGCCCCCGGGCAGTTCTGCTGATCCCACTCATACAGATCGTGTAAGAGAAGGGGGAAGCCCAGGGGACACCAGGGTTGATCAGAGAGCAGGTCCACTAGGGGAGAGGGGGTGGCTGGCCTGAGCAGAGGACACAAAGCCAAGGTGGGGTAGGTCTGGCAGGGCTATTCTCCTGATCCAGGGTGGAGGCAGAAATGGAAAGGGAGCCAACAGCAGCACAGCTAACCTGGGGAACTCACTGCCACAAGGTGTAACTGAGGCCAAGGACTTCGCTGGAGTCCTAACAGGAGTGGGCATTTAAATGGTAATAACTGTTATCACCTGCACTTACACCAGAACATACCCCCCACCAGTAGAGGCATGAGCCAACTCCCGCCTGCCTGGAGCTGGAAGAATAAGTTGTGACATGAACCATCCGCAGAAGCAGGAGGTGCCGGGTCTGAAGGGGTCTAGCTGTCCCTGTGTGGTGTGCTGCCTGCCAGAGGTGCCATTAAAACACTGCCAGCTCCAGGCTCCAGCGTGCACCGGCGCTGTGACCTTCGCCATGGTCCCTGTTCCTAGACTGGGAACCACCACAAATCCTGGGCCCAATCTAAGGGCTGCTGGTGACAGATGCCTGGGTTATAACTGCACCCACGCTGTGTGTCACTGTGCCCCCCACTAGAGAGGCTGCTCTGCCGAGCTGTTGCGGGAGGGGGTAGCGCTCTAGTGGTAAATGAGATAAGCTCAAACTCATGGCCAGATGCTACCCTTAGCAGCACTGGTGTAAATCCAGAGTAACTCTGCTGATGGTGGTAACTGCATTTACATGTGTGATTGTGCCCCTGCTAATGTGTACACTCACACACACCATACACACACACAAACCACACATCTGCACGCACACACAACCACACACACACCTAGTATGAAAAATTGGGACAGGGTAGGGGGTAATAGGAGCCTATATAAGAAAAAGCCCCAAATATTGGGACTGTCCCTATAAAATCGGGACATCTGGTCACCCTACACACACACACACCCCACACAGGCACAAACACATTACACCCCTCCCCCCGAATTCTGGCCCTCTCTGACAGTAGTGCCAGGATTCACCGTAAACCAGATTCCTTTGTATGCCACCATATTCCCATTGGAGGAGGAGTTGGGGATGGAGGGCAGGGGGAGGCAGCAGGCTCCATGCTTACCACAAACCCATTTTGAGGGTGGGAGAGGGGCCCTGCCCTGCATTTGCTCGGAGCCCATCCTCAGGGACAAGGGCAGCAGCACTGGCCACTGGCAGGGCTGAGCATGCCTGTGCTCGCTGGGGGACCAGCCAGGCGTGCCTGGGGCCGGGCAGAGGGCTGAGCTTGGGGGAAGGGGGCTGGGGGAAGGGTGGGGAGCAGTGATGGGAAAAGGCGGTGAGTTTGGGAAGGGATCAAGGTAAGGCGAGAGAGAAGCCTGGGAGTTGGTGGTTCTGGAAAGGGGGTGGGGAGGTGTGTCGGAGAAAGAAAGACGGGGCAGAGCACCTGGGGATGGAGGGAGTTCTAGAGGGCGACCCAAAGGTGGGAACAGTGGGTGTGCTTCTGACATTGATGGATGTAATCGCAGCTCTAGGGTTGAGAAGAGCTGGGTGGGGGATGGAGCACATGCTACCCGCCCCTGCCCCAGGACGTATTACATTACGATTCATTTTTTGCAGCACATCAGGAGCGAGCTCCCCGCTACAAATCAGAGGGCGTCCTTGCCAGCCAACCTGCAGCTGAGAGCACTGAGCTGGTCAGAGCAGTGCAGAGGCTGGGGGGGATTCAACAGGGCTGCCTCTCACTGCCCCTCGCCAGTCAGGTGGGGCTGGGAGGGGCCAGGTTCAGGCCAAAGCACACACCTGGGTGTACAGGGCAGCAATTCTTTCCCATAACCAACACCCCTCCTCCAGCAGGACCCTACAAACTCGCTCGGCGCCGGTGCCCACGCATGGCTGGCACTAGAACCATCTCCGCAGCTTGCAGCGCCCTGGCAGTACCCGTCACCGAGCCCAGCTTTACCCTTCTCTTCTGGGCGGCTCGGCCTGGCACGAGTGGCAACACAAGCGGGGGGCCCGCAGCCCAGCAGCAGGGGTCCCTGTCATGAAGGGACTCACTCCTCGCCTGCATTTCCCCAGCGGAAGGCCAGGCGGCTGCCACACACCAGCAGTGTGACTGCTCTTCCAGAGGGCTGGGGCTGCTATCCCAGTGCGTGACGCCAAGGCCAGTTCCCAGCCTGATCGCTGACTCTGACGGGGCTGAACTGGGCATCAGGACCCAGCCTTTCAGAACCACGGGATTTGTTTTTGAGGCTGGATTGAACCTGTAGGAGCAGTGAGCTCAGGGTGTCTGCAGGGAGGGGGGACAGAGAAGGGGGCTAGTAGGTTATAGGTCAGATCTGCTAGCTCCTCCTCCCCTGCACTGTCTGTAAGCTGTAAACGTAAAGAGCTCATGTTAGCCATCTCCCAGGAAGATCATGAGAGCTCAGGTTTCAGAGTAGCAGCCGTGTTAGTCTCTAAGATGCCACAAGGACTCCTCATTATTTCTGCTGATACAGACTAACACATTTATTTGGGCATCAGCTTTCGTGGGTTAGAACCCACTTCATCAGATGCATGGAGTGAAAATACAGGAGCAGGTATAAATGCATGAAAGGATGGGGGTTGCTTTACCAAGTGTGAGGTCAGTCTAACGAGATAAATCAATTAACAGCAGGATACCAAGGGAGGAAGTGGTAAGCGACTGGCCCATTACAGACAGTTGACAAGCTCCCTTCCTGCCAGAGGGAGCTCACTGCAATCCTCACCTCAGCCACCATAGTAGGATGTCTGTGAGCCAGGACGCCTGGTTTCCACCCTGACCCTAGGAGGGGAGTGGGATGTAAGGGGTTAAAGCAGGGAGAGTTGGGAGTGGGACTCCTGAGGTGTCCGGCAGTGACCCTCTGCAGCTTGGGCCCAGTGCGCTGTGCGATCCCACTGCCTAAAGCTGCTGCCAGAGAGCCCAGCCTGTGCATCCCACGTCTTCAGTCCAGCCCATGCTTCCCAGCTGTGCCTTGTGTCTCGTTAAAAAACCTCCCTTCCCCTTGGGGGCTCATCCCTCCCCCGGACCTGCAGACTCCTGCCCCCTACCCCCACTCCCATACGCATCGCTCAGCCAGGCTGCTCATTGCCTCTCTGCTTGCTGCCAGTCTTGCCCTGAGACCCAGCAGACAGTGAGCCAAAGAAAGGCTAGCAAACCGTATTATTATTTGTGGGTGTATTCTCAGCCCAGTCGCTTCCGTGCCCGCTCCCTGTGCTGCCTGGTTACTGGACTATTACCTCGCAGCCCTTCGGCTTTTCACACATGGAAGCGAAAGCACCAGGCACCTCCAAGGCAGAGTGCCCCTCGCACCTCCCTGCTTGCCTCACAGGGGAGGCAGCCTGGGAACGGCTGGAGCAAGCCAACAGGAGCAATTTGTGACCATTTAACAGAGCATTGGAACACCATTAGCAGGGGACTTCAAAGGGGAATTGAAGGAGCCGCTGGGAGCCGGCAGGCATCCCCACAGCTTGGCCTTTCACAGCCTCCTTCCAGCATACTGGGCAAAGCCAATGAAGCCAAGGTGGGGGAACTCTGTGATCAGGGCCGCAGAGCAGAGAAAAATCCTGGGGCTCCATTGCATTGTGGAAAGCCCAAGAGGAAGGAAGGAGGAGGGGCCAGGCTCTCCCATCTAATCCCCTGCCCCTCAGGGGCACTCCAGCCCCAGGGCCTGGCTGAGGCTTTTCAAGGGAGCAGAGATTTTAGGGCCTGGTTTTGAGGAAGAGCTCGGCATCAGCCCCCTGGATCTCAAGCCCCCTTCGAGGCATCTCCAGTTGAGCGCCCAACATCACAAGCGTCTGCAGGAAATCCTGGCCCAGAGTGTATGGCCGGCGGTTGGTGCGGCCTGACTCACCAGCCAGCTGTACAGAAGGTTACTCCAAGCCTGGAAACTTTCACTGTCACTCTTGACAGTCTCTCCCCCTCCCCTGGCCTTGGATCAGCATCTGCCTCCAGCATCTGCCCAGTCAGCAGCGCCTCCCCCTCCATTTGTCATACCTCTGCCCTTCTCGAGGGCCCAAAGGACTTCTGCGTATGCCAGAGGAATTGTGCCCAGGCCTAGCAGAGCACCTTTGATCCCAGCTGCTCCTCACACTCGTCCTTCTCTCGGTCTCCACCCAGTGCTTCGGGACACCAGTGGCAGCTATGCCTTTCTGACCCGCAGGGAATGAGATATAAGATAAACTCACCACCCCCACCCCGCGCGGGAAAAGAGTGCCAGCACTCAGTGCCATTGCCCTGTACCCGCACCCACGGAAAGAGGGGCTGAAATGTTACTGTTTTACTCAGCCGAACAATCCCCTCTTCCCCCATCGACCCCACTGGCCCTTACTCACCATGGCTGCGGCTGGACA